AGAGGACGGACATGGGATTGACTCTGGTGAATGGTCTGCTGTGCTATCGGGCGACCTATACGAGTAGAAGACCCCTTAGGAAAAGAAGCACCCAGAGATAAAACAACTCTATGAATCAGACAAGCATAGGGCAACCCTATCCGACCCCCAGGAGTATGAAACGAAGCCAGAATCTGTTGGCACACAAAACTAGGTAGGTTGATAGAATCCCCATGAAGAAGGGCATAGAGAAAACGGGCCCTCACCATAGGTAACGAAGAGGTATGGGCAACAGGCCACAGGTTTGTGCACACGATGCACAACAGAACCTATCGATCAGTGGGTAATGAACCCGTGGCCATAGCCGTAGGCCCCCCGACAGATGGGGTGTTCAAAAGAGTCGACTGAACAAGGGCATCGGCCGGAATAGAAGTAGGCAGAATATAAGGATAAGTCGAATGGGTAATCTTAGGTATACCTAATGCTAGAGCTACGGCTGACGGAGTAACTCTAAAAGAATGACCCCTAAGAAAAACACTAAATGACGAGCTGTCTACATCGTGAATATTAGCATAAAACTCCTGAACAAAGAGTGGGGGCTGAGGGGAAAGACCAACAAGAAGGGGCTCCCAACCCCGGGAAACAAAAATAGCGGCGATGTAAACAGGAAGGTCAGATAAGATTACCTCACGCTCCATGAGAACGGGGCGTAAGGAGAACTGAGAAGTAAAGACCTCCTGAGCTGTAGCAGAAATAAATCTGGATCTACCATACGACGTCGAACCACTAGCTGGCTGCGCAGAGGATCGAGAATGCTTACGGGCCATCTGGCACACACGGAGATGGAAATAATAAGTAACACAAAGAACACACGTACTACGATGCAATATGAGATGAAACAATGCACACACAGATGAGGCACGAAAGAAATGCATCGAAAAACGTAAGCGATCCCAAGAACAAACCCACCATAACGAAGAGAGAGTCAAAAATATGTGTAAACAAGGACCCAACATGGCACAAGACTACAAGTAAACAAGGAAGAAAGAATGAAACGAAAAGAAACCAAAGAAAACAAAGGAATCCGAAAAAAATATAAAGAAGGACTTTCATCAAACATGTGACGGGTGCAACTTCGGTACACAAGTCCAAGCACATACGAGACCCAGTCACAACGCCAAGCACATTCCAACAAACTACAATCCAAGGACTATGCAACCAACCAAACCACACACCAAACGGATGAGTATAACGCAAGAACGACCTCGATGAAAACGGATGAAAAACATGAAAAACACATAAACAAAAAAACAAAGAATGAATAATGCAATGCAAATATTGATGCAAAATGCGGTGAAGAGCAACAAACACAGCAAAGGCATGCACGAACACCATAAAACGTAAGAAATAATCAAGCAAAAACAGAAAAAATACTCAAAACACAATAGGAAAGGAAAAAGACACGAAGAAAAAAAATACCTCAAATTCGAAGTGAAGAAATGGAAATTCGGAAGAAGAATTGTCTTAGGGGCTTCGAAATTGGTCAATAAACGAAGTGATGGGAAGAAGTTTGAACGAAATCAAGAAGGAAAGCAAAAAACGAGAGTGAAAATGAAGAAATTGCGCGAAAAAATGGAAAACAGGGCTTTTAAATCTGATCTATCGCTCAAGTGAGGCCTGGGCGAAACTCGGCGACAAGCAATCTGCTTTTGTCGCTCGAGCGAAGTCCAGGCGAAACTCGAGCGAAAATGGATTGTCACAAATAGCACCAAAAATTTGAATGTTAAGAAAAATAACACAGAATTCAAAAAATAATGAATTTAGCCCCAAACCGTGTATTTTCAAAATCAAGAGAATTTCTTAACATCGGAAAATAATCCCAAAATTCAAAAATGAAGCATGTAACCAAATATGTAATCGATACGAACAATAAGCATAAAATCACAAACCCGACATTCAGAGCACATAGACAAATCTTAAGCCCACACAGAGTTCAAAATCCCGTGGAGTAAAGTGTATACAGATCATCACCGTGAAATGTGCTACGTAGTCCATGCAAGTTAGACTCAAAACCTTAAATTAGTGAGAAAGGACACGTGAAAACAATCGGACAAAGGTGTAAGTCGACCAAGTGACACTCAAATCCAATTCCACGAAGACCTAAATCAAGCAGTACGATTGTCACAATTTTACTCCCCCTAACAGTTTGCTTTTTTTTTTTTGTAAATAATATAAGAACTTAAGTGCAATGATATCCTCATTAGGCGACATAAATGACTCCGGTAACGAACTTTGGGTCGGTGACTCCCAAGCCAGACGACCATAGGGCACCAGGTTAGAAACCCCTCAGGCTTAATTGTTCGAGTCAAATAGACCCCGAAGACAGTCCTTAAGCTCAACGAATAGCATAGTAAAAGTGGGGAAAGACAATATTGATTAGGTTACACTCGTCCCAGATCAAGTCAAATGGACATACAACCCCAATCATAAAAGAACACCATCCCAAGTCTCACCCATGCGATTAAGACTCACTTACAGGACTACAGTGTATGCTGTGCGAAAATGAATGACAAGCCATATACTCGACACTCCACAGACAAAGAGAACGACGATGGAACCTTAGACTCGTACATATGATGAAAAACAGAGTTCGAACCTAGATGCAAATGCCATAATCGTCACACACAAAAAAAACACACACACATATAATACAAAAAATAAAACTAAACGACAAGCAAACAATCAAAAAGCACCACACACACATAGATCACATGCAAGATATGAAGTAACTAGGTGCAGATGTGATGAATGCATGAATATGCAAGAGTCCACGATCAGATACGCAAACAAACACCAACAGTTGTCCGAAGCGATTCAAACCTCAACCCATCCAGTGGTTTCGTAAGTAGATCGGCCAATTGGTTATCAGTAGAGACATGATCTAGGGAGACAACGTGTGTTTCAACAAGTTCACGAATAAAATGATGTCATATGTCAATATGTTTTGTTCGCGAGTGCTGAATAGGATTCTTAGAGATATTTATAGCACTGGTATTGTCACAGAAAACAGTCATGGTCCCTTGACTAATCCCATAATCACTCAGTGTCTGCTTCATCCAGAGAAGTTGAGTGCAGCAACTCCCCGTTGCTATGTATTCGGCCTCTGCCATGGAAAGAGATATGAAATTTTGTTTCTTACTTAACCAGGCTACGAGATTGCTACCCATGTAGAAACAACCCCCTGTCGTATTTTTCCTATCATCTGCGTTCCCGACCCAATCGACGTCGGAGTAGCTAGCCAAATCAAGATTAGAACTTCTAGAGTAGAAAATCCCTAGATCAACAGTACCACTCACATATCTAATGATGCGTCTAATAGAGCTTAAGTGTGATTCTTTTAGATCTGCCTGAAATCGAGCACACACTCCAACACTAAAAGTAATGTTAGGTCTAGTAGCTGTGAGATAGAGAAGACTACCTATCATGCTTCGATATAGGGAAGGATCTACACTCTTACCTGAAGGATCACGACCTAACTTCAAGCTAGTGCTCATAGGTGTCCTAGTATGCTTCTTACTATCTAACCCAAAGCGCTTAACTAGATCCTTTGCATACTTAGACTGTGAAATAAACAAGCCATCCTCAGTCTATTTCACCTGAAGTCCCAGGAAATAACTCAACTCACCTACCATACTCATCTCAAATTCTTGCTTCAAACACTCAGCAAACTTATACGCTAGAGACTCAAGAGGAGAACCAAAAATGATGTCATTGACATAAATCTAAGCAATAGTGATAGTTTCTTCAATATGTCTAATAAATAAGGTCCTATCAGCACCACCTCGAGAGAACCCATGTTCCTCAAGATATGAAGTAAGTCTCTCATACCAAGCTCTAAGAGCTTGTTTCAGACCATAGAGTGCTTTGTGGAGTTTGTAGACATAGTGGGGAAACTTTGGATCAACGAATCTTTTTAGTTGTTCCACATAGACTTCTTCTTGAAGAAGTCCATTTAAGAAGGCACTCTTAACGTCTATTTGATGTAGCTTGAACCCTAAGGTATAGGCAACAACAAGCAAAATCCGAATAGACTCAAGTCTTGCAACAGGGGCAAAAGTCTCATCAAAATCAATTCCCTCAACTTGAGTATAACCTTGAGCAACTAATCTGGCTTTATTCCTAGTTATAGTACCTTGGTCATCCGTCTTGTTCTTAAAGATCCACTTAGTACCAATAACGTTACAATTCTCAGGTTTGGGAACTAAGATCCACACATTGTTCCTAGCAAATTGATTGAGTTCCTCATGCATCGCATTCACCCAACACTCATCACTAAGGGCCTCTTCAACTTTCTTAGGCTCTACCTGAGAAACATAGCTAGTGTAAGCTAGATTGTTCAGTACCCTCCTACGAAGCCTCATACCTTCATCTAGATCCTCAATGATATTGTCCTTAGGATGATTAGACTTGACCTTAGTCGATGGTTCCTTAGGATTTTTATCTCCATCTTGTGGATGTGTTTCCTTTTCAGGTGTTTCAGGTTTCCTAAGAGATGACTCAGACACAGGTGGCTCAGTAGGATCACTAGACCTTCTATCGTCCATCCCATCACAATTTTCAACATTCTCCCCCTCACTCATAGCATCATCTATCACAACATTGACTGACTCCATCACCACACGAGTACGTGAGTTATACACTCAAAATGCTCGGCTATTTCTAGAGTACCCTAAGAAGATTCCTTAATCACTCTTCGATTCAAACTTACTCAAGTTCTCTCTATCACGCAAAATGTAGCACTTACTCCCAAACACATGAAAGTACTTAACTGTAGGCTTTTTACCCTTAAGTATCTGATATGGAGTCTGATCGATCTTGGGCCTAACGTAAACTCTATTGATTATGTGGCATGCAGTGTTAATCGTTTCTTCCCAAAAATGTAGGGCTAGTCCCTTGCCATGAAGCAATGCTCTAGCCATGTCCTGAAGAACCCGATTCTTCCTTTCAACCACCCCATTTTGTTAAGGAGTGATAGGGGAAGAGAACTCATGCAGTATCCCTTCGTCCATGCAGAAACTCTCAAGATTGAAAATTTCAAACTCTTTTCCATGATCACTATGCATTCTAGACACTTTGAGATTGAGTTCATTACAAAGCCGTTTACACAATGATTTTATAATATCACAAGCATCAGATTTTTCCCTAAGCAATTCTATCCATGTGAACCTCGAGAAGTCATCTACCACAACAAGAATGTACCGCTTACCTCCTAAACTCTCAGTCCTAGATGGTCCCATTAAATTCATGTGTATCAATTCCAAGGGTCTTTTGGTCAGAATTCTAGAAGTCTTTTTATGGCTTTCTTTAAGTTGTTTACCTAGTTGACATGGTCCACACACAACATTTTCACTAGGACCTATCTTAGGAAAACCATCTACCAACTCCTTCTTAGCCAGCTGTACTAGACTCTTATAGTTCAAATGACCCAAACTTTTGTGCCAAAGTTCACTCACATCAATTTTTGCACTCCTACATAATTAGAATTAGGTAGAACTCCATAACAATTATCAGATGTTCTAACCCCTTCAAGAACCACCCCATCGGATGAATCATACACAGTACATCTCTTTTGCACAAAGCTAACCTCAAAATCAGCATCACAAATTTTACTAATACTTAACAAGTTAGACTTTAGACCTTCCACATAAAGCACATTAGAAATCACAAGTAATCCATGCATTTATATAGTACCTTTGCCAAGAATAGGTGCAGAACCCCCATCTTCAAAGGTAACCATACCCCCATTACATTCATCAAGAGTAGTGAATAAAGCCTTGTTACCACACATATGCCTAGAACGTGCACTATCTAGGTACCACATATTATAATTTTGGGCTTTTAATGCAACATGAGCAACATAACAATGTTCTTGACCTGAATGTCTAGCTAGATCACCCTTTTTGACCCAAACTTTCTTAGGCGACAAAGTACTCCTAGTTAGCTTAGTAAGCATCTCAGTCAAATGACTAACCTGATTAGACAGAAAGCTAACCTGACTAGGAATGTTCTGATTTCTATGCTCATTGCCTAACTTATAACATCTAGTTCTAGTGTGTCCTAGAGCTCCACAGTGATGACAAGTGGGAATGAACCTAGGCTCAAATGTACATGTCTATCGGTATCTGGGCATGATGTTCCTACGTGATTGATGACTCTGTTCTCTTGGAACATTCTTACCCTTATTTGAACTACTGACAGCATTAGACTTCTTAGAGGCGATACAAAAATAGTCTTAGATGGTCCAGCAACATGTGTATTACCCTCAACATATCATAGACCTCTCCTATCTCCCACTGGCTTATTCATTCCCAAAAGATTATCCAATTTCTTAGTCCCACTTATGAAAGTCTGAAGATGAGCATTAGATTTTTCCAATTCACTAGCCAATGTCTTAACCTTGTCCTCTAAGTTTTCGTTGACACATTTTAACTCACTACCACTCTTAAGTGAATCCCGAAGATTACTAGCAAGTCTCTCTTTTTCTCTTTCCAGTTCATCAACCTTTTTGAGTAGGGCTTTATTGACCTTTTTGATCTTAAGACTCTCCTTAAACAAAAGTTGATAGGCCTCTTGTATGTCTATGTCATCCTCATCCTCATTACTAGAATTATCATCGTGAAGTTCTTCTTCAACCTTGTCACTCTCCTTATCAGATTCACTCTTAACAGTCGATACAAATGCCATATAGTTCCCTTCATCTTCACTACTAGATGATTCCTGCCTATCATTGGTCTCAGATTCGTTATCTGTAAGTGAAACAACTAAGGCCTTACCTTTTCCTTTTCTTTGATTCTTCTTATAACTAGGACACTCATTCCTATAGTGACCTATACCTTGACACTCATGGCACCTAACCAAACATGGTTTATCACTCGACCCTTTATTGTTAAACCTTTCAGTTTTTTCTTTTGAGAATCTGCTAGGGACTCCACTTTTTCTATCCTGAGGTTTTCTCCTATTCTTGAGAACTTTTTGAAATTTCTTAACAAAGTATGCAATTTCATCATCCCTAAGAGACTCAGTATCAGACGATTCATCCTCTTTGATGGATTTTAAGGCTATGGACTTTCCTTTCTTAAGTTGTGTGACAGTGAGTTCATAAGTTTGCAAGGATCCTACCAGTTCTTCAATTTTAACTTCATCTAGGTCTTTACTTTCCTCAATGGCAGTAACTTTAGGCCTAAATCTCTTGGGCAGGGACCTAAGTACTTTTCTCACAATTTTAAACTCGGGAATTCTCTCACCTAGATTGAAACTAGAATTAATGATATCATTCAATTTTGCGTAAAACTCATCAAAAGTTTCATCATCCTTCATCCTCACTTCTTCAAACCTAGAGGCTAGCATTTGTAATTTCGAGTTCTTTACCGTTTTAGTTCCCTCATGTGTAGTTTCAAGAATGTCCCAAACTTCTTTAGCAGTTTCGCACATTGACACTCTCTTAAACTCTTCGGGAGACACAGTCATAAACAAGGCATGAAGCCCCTTGCTATTCCAATTACACTCAGCTATCTCATCCTTAGTCCATAGTGATTTGTCAGTAAGATTAACAGTTCCTGATACGGTAGTAGAGGGAGGTTTCCAACCATTTTGCACACTCACCCAAACATGCTCATCTAGAGACTTAAGAAATGCACGCATTCTAACCTTCTAGTAAGCATAATTACTTCCATCTAAATACGGAGGTACAGAAAGTGATTGACTCATCTAGACAACTATGGGTCAGGACTCGAGATTTGGCTCTGATACCACTGGAATAGTCTATAGTTAGACCCAAACAACACTTAGAGGGGGGTGAATAGGTGTTTATGCGGAATTTAACAATTTAATTAACTTATGCAACATGTCACATAAATTACGCTTTGTCCAGATTCATTCACATAATTTAGCTACCTAAGTTGAATTGCCGGTTGAAATCAAAACAACAGAAAGCAGTAAAAACGCAACAAAATGTTGACGGAGAAAACCCAACTAGGTAAAAACTCCGGGCACAAGCCAGTAGGTATCCACTATAGAAGATTTCGACTTACGGTACGCCAAACATTATTGACTCAAAAAATACTCTGACCTCCTTACTGTATCAACCAAAGCTCTCCTAGATTTTGTAGATCGGCGCCAAAATCCCTGCCTTGAATTTCTTCTATTTCCCATGAATCACCAAGCACTCCAGTTCTTCAAGCAGTTTCCTTCCCGGATCTTCAAACAGATGATCTTCTGGAAGTTGATATGCAGATTGGAATGGTGTTTTGGTTATGTGAAGGTTGATGTTTTTCTTCAATGAATCATAAGATGAAAAGAAAGAATTTTTGGCTCTAGATCCTTTGGTTGTAGAGAGAAATTGTTATTTGTGTGTTTGCCAAAGGTCTTCAATGAAAAACGAAATTTTTGTTTATGTAATAGGTCGTTTTCGGTAGTAGGGATTGTTTAAAATTCGCGAGGAAGGAAAATTACCAAAAGTCAGATAACACTGTCGCTCGAGCAAAGTGCTGGCGAAACTCGAGCGACGTACCTTCGCTCGAGCGACCCCTCAGCGAAATTCTAGCGACAACAGTTCTGTTATTTAGGCTCGAGCGATGTCAGGGTGAAACTCTAGGGAGATCAACGCGCCGTTTGCATCTTCAAAGCATCCAACTTTACCCTAGACCTATGCTATAAACTTTGCAAAATTGCAACACAAGTCCCTAAACTATTAGAACTTTACAATTTAGTCCTTGACTTTACAAACATGACAAATTGGTCCTTTGGTCACAGATTGCCAATTACAACATTTTCCTAACACTTTGACCTCTCGTTTTCATAATTTTTTTTTTCAAAATTTTAATTAATTAATTAATTAATTAATTTTTCAATGTACCAAGTTAATTGCAGAACCAGTGTTTCACTTATCATGTATCTAATTTTTGATTTCCTGGTAGACAGTCTGCAAACTGTTGTTAAGGTATCGATGTGTTAGGTTGTTTCCACAAAGTATAGATTTGAAGTAATACTTTTGACGTTTTAGCTGTTGATTTATAGAAATATTACATTGTTTATTAGTGAATTCCATTATATGTTTTACTTTATTATTTATTTGAGCAAGATTTCAACCATCTTGTAAGAATATGAATTGGGTGTTTGGTTGGTGGAGCGCAGTGCAAATACAACTTATATTTTGATTGAAAAAGAGTTTGAGTAGGATTAAAGGTTGACAACTTAGTTTGTGAAGGTTGTAGTGTAAGCTATTTCACAATTTGAGGTAAGCAATTTGTCAATATCGCATAATAGCATTTTCAGAGTGCTTTAAATTACACCATGTTAGAATTTAATTTTATATCATGATTGTGGGGGGTGGGTGATTAGTTTGATGTGAAGAAAAAGTATAGCTACCCACTTCAAATTTAGTTATATGAGACACCTTTTTTTTTTTTGTAATTTTTTTGCAAGTCTTAGCACGTTCAACCACCAAACCTATAGATCTTGGTTTCGTTCTTCTTCATCTACAAACATATAGTAACTTATTCAACATATAAAGGCGGTGAGGGAGACATATGAATATTTACATAGTTCATTTGTAGCTCAATTCAAAGTGAAGAGTAAAATAGAGAGAAAGGTTGGGTGGATTAGTGTGGTCAGGAGAAGGAAGAGGCAGGGGCGGACTCAGACCTTTAGTATTGTGGGATCAAAATTTTAAAAATATTTTTTTTAATAAACAACGTAATATCAATGAAAATAAGTTTATATGTATTTTGACACTTTGAAAACGTCATATAATTACATCATTATTAATATTATTAAATAAGTTCTGCTACTTGTATAGTTTTATTTATCATTTCATTGGCAAATATTGAGCTAACATTGAGTAAATTAAATTGAATATAGAAATTAAATGAATTGAAATAAAATTCAAGTTTAGTTCAGAAAGTAAATGAAATTCAAATTTAAAGCAAATATAATTCGAAAGTAATTCAAATTGCATTTAATCCGTAACGTCTCTAAAAAATTTACGTCATATTTCATGTAAGACTTCTGAATGAAATGATATAAATTATATTGAAAATTTTATCGTGCAAAAATAATAATTAATTGAATTTTTTTAAAGAAAAAATGAGTTAGACGTCTTTTTTGAGGCGTACATTTGATACATATTTAACTATTTTCGATATCCATTTGGACTATTCGATATGAAAACGATGTAGTTTTCTAAACAAGCTTTTACATGACATAGACGATTTGTGGACTCAGATAGCACATGATCGCAAACGAATTTTTATAGTTAGGAGATTATCTAAATTCTCAAAATACTAGTTTCAGACGCCCTACTTTAACATGTCATAACTTTTGCTATAGTTAACAACTTCGCATGCCATTAATGAGTGAAAAACTAGGTCATGAGCACTTCGAAATAGTATTAAGAATTAAATATTTTGACTTCATTTGGCATCTTGACGAGTGCATCAAAATAGATCATAAATAAAAATAAATAAATAAAAATAGGGGCAAAATTTTGTGGGGTCATTTGACCCCACATGACCCCATGTGGGTCCGCCCCTGGGAAGAGGAATCATATTTGGGCTAGGTCAACAGGAAAAAATATTGCCCAGCTGAAGGTGGGGAAAAAGAGACTTTAGACCAGGAGAGTGGGAGGTTGACTAAGAAAGATGACATGGTGGATGATCTAATAGTGGCTAAAAGTGAGTTTATTCGGGAAGATTGGGACTGGAGCGGTGGTGAAGATGTGATGATGGGGAGAAGTGTGGTAGATTGGTAAAATATTACCCAAGGTGAGGAACAAAGACTTTGGGATCAGGAGAGTGGGAGGTGGAATGAGATGGATTGTTGTAATCTTCTTGTTGTTCAAAATCAAAGACTAGATGAACTTGAGAATTAAAAAATGAAAAATATACCAAAAACTTGGTTTATGCAATCGCAGCGGCCTTTAAGGCTTGTGGTCACATGTGGGTATGTAGAAACTTTAGAGGTGGTCGAGCATATAGTTATGCTATAACCTATACTGTCACATAGTTAAAAAAATAGCCGTTAGGTGGATTTTTTATTTTTATTTATTTATTTATTTTTTCAAATTTCTAGTGGTTTTCTTGGTAAAGCATTGCACCTCTTCCTTTTTAAGTTGGAATCACTTCGTGCATGGATGATTGAAAACTATAAATACGTCCCATTATTCATCCCAAAATGTATGAGAACCCATCCTATTGTTCATCCTATTATTGAATAAATTCATTTTATTTACATAGTCAAATTCTCCTTTTCTCACTTGGTCACTTTGAAGAATCACTTTTTCTTTTGGTGTTGTTCATTTAGGCTTGATAAATCCTACTAACTATTTGCCATTTTCAATCTTTAAAAGGATTGTGAGAAGAGGCAAATACCATTTGAGGACAACAATTTTTTTGTGTTCAAGTCCTCTTCGTTTTTACGTTTATTTTTTTTATTCTTGTCAATTCTTCTACATTTCTTTCCATTGTTGTAAATTTTTCTAACAAACTCAAACGATATTCTCATTTTATTGTGATGGAGACGAAAACCACACTAGCTACCATAAAGTTGATGAATCAAGATTTGGTATGCTTGGATAGATTTGATGTAACAAACTTTAGAAGATAGTAGGACAAACTCAAATTCTTTCTAATGGCATTAAAAATCTTCTACGCACTTGATCCAAAATTGGAGCCAATTTTCGATGCAATAGACAAGGATACTGAAGAAGTTCATTCCAAAAGAAAGAAAATGGAAGACGATGAATTGATATGTCACAGTTAGGTCCTAAATGCTCTTTCAAATCGATTACATGATCTCTACACCAACACTACTTCAGCAAAGAAATCTGAAATGCACTTGAAAACAAATATAATGTCGAGGAGGAAGGTACCAATAAGTTTTAAATTTCTAAATATTTTAATTTCAAGATGCTTGATAATATCACATTACTGCCTCAAGTACATGAATCACAAATCGCTGTTAACAAACTGAAAGTGGCGAAAGTCGAACTTCTTGAATCCTTTCAAAAGGGAGCAACTATTCTCAAACTCCTAGGATTTGGAAAGGAAATAGGAAGACGGTTCTTCACAATTCAAAATATTTTTCTTTGGAAGATATTCCAAAAACATTTTTGCATATAGGAAGAATCAAGAGCAAGATATATGATCGAAAGTTCTTCTGATGGCTTTTTAAAAGCCAATGCTGTGGACAATGTGGATAACTCCAACAAATACAAGAAGAAAGGGAAATATCTTAGTCACAAAATGGATCAAGGAAAGTTCAAAACCAAAACAAAATGACCTTACTATGTCTGTGGAAAATCAAGATACTATGCAAGAGATAGCAAGAACAAGAACCAAAGAAAGAAGGAAAAATAAATTCCATTGATATGATTATCGCTGTGGTAAGTGAAATCGATGCTATCCAAGGCAAAGTTCTATGTTGGTGGTATAACAAATGTTCTGCTGTCCATGTTTGTTACGATTAGTTTCATAACTTATCATGACTTTGAAGATGGTCAAGAGATACAAATGAGAAATGAAGAAAGATCTAAAGTGATTGGCAAAGGTAATGTGGAAATCCTAGATTTAGATTGTACAATGGAAACTGAGAAACTTATTGATGCATCATATAGTCATATTATGGTAGCCATGATAGTTAAAATT